ATTGGCCTGTATGGCCCTCAGGGCTTCACATGGGCTGCAGCTGTGTGCTGACTGGGCTGCAAGCAGCCTGCAGGCTGAGAACAGGAGGGGTTCTCCTGGTGCTGGGGTTAAGCAACCTGCTCAGGCGGCAGTGCTAAGATTGCCGAATTCTACCACCAGCCAAGTGCTCTGTGCATGGGTATCAGGTCGGCTGAGCCCCATTTCTCCGTGGTGTGGAGTTCCCCCGAGCTGAGGTGACTTAACTTTCAAGTGCAGACCTGGCCTGAGACGTAGGGTCCTGTTCTGAGCTAAGGACATTTCTTGCCTTGGCAGTCGATGGTGCTGCAGCTGCTGGGCCTTCCCACCTTTCGCTGAGAGCATAGGCAGAGAGCGGGGCATGGCCTCTGTGCTACATGCCAAGGGCCCACGGCAGGGACCAGCACTGGGCAGACAATTCTGGGCTCTTAGCACTAGCAGAGGGCTGTTGTGCTTGCCAGCCACCCCAGGATTGCTGCACTCCGGAGCCACTTGCTGCTTTCTCTCCCAGCTGTCGCCCAGAACCAGTGCAGGGAGTAGACACTGGAGCCAGCCCATCATATTCGTACAGCCCTGGGCACGCTGTTGGCCCCAGTTACAGTAAGGGTCATAACCAGCCTGCTGGGCTCTCCATTCAGCTCAGCCACATTTGGTTGGCTGGGCAAGCCATACAGAGGGGCCAGCCATGCGAGGGCTGGCAGGTGGATGAGGGTTGTCAGGCTGAGAGCAGCTGGATATGGGTGGGACCCTCAGAAACCAGCATCTGCCCAGGACCTGTTTCATTCCTTGGCATCTTCCCGACCAGCTGCTCCTGTGACAATGCCAGGGTGACACCACGGGGCCCCGATGAAACCAACCTCAGCTCAGTGGCACAGCGGCACCTCAGTGGGATCTGCAATACCAGCCTGCCCGAGATGCTGCGGCACTCCCCAGATGCTGTGGCCATGCCCGGGAGGGGGCAGGCCAGCTGTTAGCCATTCTGTGCAGGGTGGGGAGAGCCCTGGGGGCACCAGGTGTAATATACCAGTTGGTTTGGGGGCACCACTGTAAGGGTCAAATCAGGGCAAACAGCTTATAAACTAGGCCACTTCAGCCCAAGACTGGGGTCTTCTATAAGGCACCAAACCAGTCAGAGAACACTGCAGATGCCACACTGGCCAGCCAGAAGTCTCAAAAGCAATCCCCTTGGGCACTCCAGCTTTACATGTGCCACAGCTAGCACCTCACCTTACACCAGCGAGAGGTTATGAACAACAACTCACCAACTCCGAACAGGCTCTCCCAGTCCCAAAGGACCAGCCACAGTCCCAGGGCAATTTACACCTCGGATCCTACCCAAAGAGCACGCTGGGCCAATGCTCTAGCCTGGGGGCAGGAGAGCACGCAAAGTCTCTGTCCCTACCCTGCTGGGGTGTGCAGCAGCTAGAGAACTGCGCACCCCTGGCAGGGGGATGAGACTTTGCGAGCTCCCTCATCCCCAGGTCCTGATTGGCCTGTATGGCCCTCAGGGCTTCACATGGGCTGCAGCTGTGTGCTGACTGGGCTGCAAGCAGCCTGCAGGCTGAGAACAGGAGGGGTTCTCCTGGTGCTGGGGTTAAGCAACCTGCTCAGGCGGCAGTGCTAAGATTGCCGAATTCTACCACCAGCCAAGTGCTCTGTGCATGGGTATCAGGTCGGCTGAGCCCCATTTCTCCGTGGTGTGGAGTTCCCCCGAGCTGAGGTGACTTAACTTTCAAGTGCAGACCTGGCCTGAGACGTAGGGTCCTGTTCTGAGCTAAGGACATTTCTTGCCTTGGCAGTCGATGGTGCTGCAGCTGCTGGGCCTTCCCACCTTTCGCTGAGAGCATAGGCAGAGAGCGGGGCATGGCCTCTGTGCTACATGCCAAGGGCCCACGGCAGGGACCAGCACTGGGCAGACAATTCTGGGCTCTTAGCACTAGCAGAGGGCTGTTGTGCTTGCCAGCCACCCCAGGATTGCTGCACTCCGGAGCCACTTGCTGCTTTCTCTCCCAGCTGTCGCCCAGAACCAGTGCAGGGAGTAGAGGCTGGAGCCAGCCCATCATATTCGTACAGCCCTGGAAGGGTCATAACCAGCCTGCTGGGCTCTCCATTCAGCTCAGCCACATTTGGTTGGCTGGGCAAGCCATACAGAGGGGCCAGCCATGCGAGGGTTGGCAGTTGTATGAGGGTTGGCAAGTGGGGCCATAGTACAATCCACCCAAGAGAGAGCTCCTGTGCCTGTCTCCCCTTCACCCCTACTTTTTTGTCAGACCTGCTGGTCCCCTAGGGAGCTGGGCGCAGCCCTGCCCCTTGCCATACAGCCAAGGCCAGGGAAGGGGGAAAGCTGACCCAGGATTAGCTCCTCCGTACAGAAGTTGCTTTAATAAACCAGACCCAGGTATGACATGCAAGCGCCTGGGTGCAGTTTTTTAAAAGCCACAGGAGAGGAAACTGAGGCAGATGCAGGGTCCAGTGTGAGTTGGATAAGTTCCTAGTACAGTCTGAGGCCTGTTAGACAGCAAGGCAGGCTCTGCACACCTGCCTTTCATGGCCACTCTTCAGGGAACAGAGGGCTTTTCTCCAGGGCTACGTCTACACTGGCATGAATTTCCGAAAATGCTTTTAATGGAAAAGTTTTCCGTTAAAAGCATTTTCGGAAAAGTGAGTCTAGATTGGCAGGATGCTTTTCTGCAAAAGCAGCACTTTTTGCAGAAAAGCGTCCGTGGCCAATCTAGACGCGGGTTTCCACAAAAAAGGCCTACACGATCGGGGCTTTTTTACAGAAAACAGTACTGTGCAGTCTACACTGGCCCTTTTGCGCAAAAGTCTTTCGGAAAAAGACTTTTGCCCGAACAGGAGCAGCATAGTATTTCCAGAAAAGCACTGACGATCTTACATGAGATCGTCAGTGCTTTTCTGGAAATTCAAGCAGCCAGTGTAAACAGCTGGCAAGTTTTTCCGCAAAAGCAGATGATTTTGCGGAAAAACTTGCCAGTCTAGACACAGCCGAT